TGAGTAGAAGAAGATGTGATCGCTCGAAATGGAATTCGATTCACCTCAAGTTTCGAAGCCCTGTGCAGAAACCCGATTTTGTTATTGTGTCTCATGAGCGATCCGCGACTGATATCAAAAAGTCAAGCGAATAAAATTATTGTTCGAGCAATCGTATCTCTTTATTCTCAATTACCTCCTGAGACTCACGTTTAACCTTGTTATATAGGTTTTGGAACGTCGAGAAATCTGTGGTTTCGCCACTAGCCTCAGGGAATGCCTGAACTGCCTAAAACTGGTCTTTTGGGGAACATACATATTGCAGTATCCTACCTCTTTTTGCTATACAGTGGACTGGAAACCTCATCTTGTAGAATTTAAGGGGTCTTGCATGTGGTGTTCACTAGGTTGTAAAATGTGTTTGCTGGTCAAGGAGTTATCAAAATGACTCCATTTGGTAGCTTATAATTCCGGTATGCCCTTATTACAGACTTCGCACGGTGATGGAATGAATAAATAAACAATTTTTTTATTTTAGGCCCGGACGGCCTCGTCATGGTATTATCTTGGACATAACCCTTCTATTTATACCAATGAAAACACTAAATCCTAAGGACATTGGCTACCCTCCTTATGTGAACGTTGGCCACTAGCAGAAAAGTGGCTCTGATACGATCTCGTCCGATTCAGTTTGGAAGTCTTTCGATGAGAAGGAGCTGTATTGCGTTTTGGGAACCAACCTTCCTCGGCTTCTGAGATCTCGCTTTTTTGTCCTTTTTTAAGAGTTGCACCTACCCTGCACACACGCTGTCATTTTCCTTATTAGTTTCTACGGCTTAGAAAGTTGTCATTGTGTATTATTTCTTATATTCTTCAGTATTCGTCATCACCAATTTTTCGTCGTAAGTTTATTCAAGTCGCAAGTTTATTCAACTTTCTGATCTCCAATTTTAGCTTCTGTCAATTATTTAAAAACTTATCTAGTCTTTCTTAGCCGAATCCGCTTACCTGTAAAGTATATGACTTAAATAAGAATCTCCGAGTTCCAGCATATTTTCACACTTTACATGTCTTCTATTTTCACGTCACCGACAACCTTCGACTGAATATTAACTTGAAGAAACACTTAAACCTATTTAGAAAGGCAACTTTCTCCACCTCGTTATAAAGGATCAAACAAGGAAATCGAAACCCAATGTTGACATAACAATGGACACCCTTAGTTCTATTTCTGGCCCAAAATCATGATTTTGTTTAAGTCAATCAAAAAGCTAGGTCTGTTTAGTTTATTCCAGTATGCAACAGTTTGAAATTGGTATCTTACCGATTAAATAAATGCGTAGATAGATTTGTTCTTGGCAAAACATGATACTTTTCCTTCTGTATATAAATGGGCAATCGTTTAAGTGATCATTCAAATAATAAATGTAGAAGTAAACGTCTCCTGTCCTGGCCAAGAAAGTTACGAATGGGAAACGGCTCATCCCATTCCAATCCTCAGTGGAGCACTTCTAGTTTGGTAAGGCTTGCTACAGGTCCTACACACTGTTCAACATTTTTTTAGTTCTAGCTATTGCTTTAACTTATAATGTTTTTGCCCTTAGTTTTGCAGATTTTGGTACCAATTTTTTCCATTCTCTTTGTTGCCTTGGCACGTATCTTTGTCTCGTTCTGCACTATCAGCGGAAAAGTATGGGCTTGTAAACCGCAAGTGACATTATTATTCTATAATACCACTGACTCCAGACACACTAAAGGAATGATTGGTTCATTGTGCCTGTAGAGTCTGTTAATATAAGCTATTGCAAATTCGCCGATGTGAGCGAGCGCCTACCCTTTTAGCAGATACTGGTATCCTGTACCCGTAATCTAAACATCTCCTGTATGACTCCCACCCCCTAGAATGGCCTAGGGAAGAGTCAATCGAATTCACCTATGTCAAAAGATAACGCAAGGAGAGCTAACTTCCCTTTACAAGGAAGTTTAACATCCGTCCTGTATGCGGTGGCGTAGTTTGTGATTCTTATTGCGGACAGAGAAATATAGCACGATTAATTATGCCAGAAGAAGATAAATATGCCATGAATTGAACATTTAAAAAGACCGGTAGCACCATTAAAATGTATTATGACCCTTTACTGGTTTTACGACAGTTGGCTTGATTGGGTGTGTTCGCTGTCTATATCACAAAGCCGTTTTGTTTTTCAGCACGAATTTTACCTAAACGACTGAGACCTCTATCTCAGTTTGCATGTTAGTAGCAAACAGCTTTTCCCTCTGTGTGCAGACATTTATTCTAATACCTCACAGAGCTGTGGATTTCTTTTATTCATTGCACACACAACGGCGGACCTACATGAATCTTGCTCTCCTATTTCAGCAGGCAAAACACATAAACAAGACGCTGATTGAATTATGCTTCAAACACTTGTGGCTTTTATACAGTCTTGTATATTTTGGTGATATTCTAAACAATTATGTTTTCTGACGCATTTACAACTGTGGGAAATAAGTTGCATTTCGGTCACCAGCAACGGGCATTTGATTAAATAAATCGGACTTAGTTTACCAAATGTTCATATTCTTGTTTTCGGCTGTAGTTTAAACGCTGGAATGCCGGGGCTCTAAATGTGCCGTAGGACTGATTGACAATCAGCAAACGTTTCAAAAATTTATAGATACGCTGTGAATACGCATAAGTTGTCTCAATACATGGGGTTTTGTGTGGGAATTGCCAGCAATTGAAGGAGAATGCGGCCGTTTTTTCTAAATCAGTAGTTTTCTGAAAGCAGATAAAGTGAAAGCGAACCACCTTCCTCGTTTCTTTATTCACGCATTCTAGAAACGAGACGTAGCTCGATAATTGACTAGCACGCGTAACGTGGGATAGCTGTGTAGAACTACAGGCTGCACTAGTCGATCAATACATTTCTACAATTTATCTTCATGCTTCTTGCGAATTCGCCTCAATTACTCTTCTGTTGCTAGACCTTAATATAAATGTCCTTTGTTCGGAATTCAACCACAATACTGTTTCCTCCAAAAATGTTATACACTGCGAAAAAAATGATAAAGTGCGTGCAGATTCGTGTGTATAATTCATCGGCCCGATTATTAAGAGGCACACGGGAGTGGCATTCCAGAATTCAGGAACTTCAACAGCCATGAATTTAAAACCTGCCGTTGGGTTCTACCTTAGCTACTGCATAAATATCTTTTGCTGATGAACTCTGTGGAAGACTTCTCAGACTATTGCCATAACATACTTTCAGTCGAAGCTATCTGAGTCGATCTAGCCTCATATTTCAAGAGCCCATGGGACTTTCGTTGTTATTGACACCTAAAACCTTCCTGTCTAAGTTCTGATATTTTACTGCCGGTTGTCCAGTTAGTTAACTTCTATGTATGAGTAAACTTGATTAAATCATTTATACCTGCTTATATAAACCTTATTTTATCTATCGTATTGCAATGACATCCTCAGCTTATCGTGCCGTTAATCACGTATGCTGCTTGCCAATTTTGGAAGATAACTGTGAAATCCGATAAAAATGAAAAGCTTATCTTTCTTTTTTGCAGAAGAAGAAAGGTCATCGCCTGTCTGGAGTTCCTGACCTGTCAGGTGGATATGCCGGCGCAAATTACTACCCAGGAGAGGGCGCAATTACCGCTGAACGACTACACAATCCATCTCTCTCCCCAGACCTGCGTCGTCTACATCCTGAGCCCAATGTGCCACTGAGTCAGGGTTTCGGAGGGATTACTAGCGGAACCGTACAAAGGCCGCGAACAGCCAGGGCACCAAAGCGCAGCAGTGGGCAGGACCCTTTTGGTGGCTCCCTTGTGGATGAATTTCGCAGTCCAATCACAAATCCCGCTGTTCATCCGAAGCATTCAGTATCCACACCGAAACAATTTTCCACAGGAATTTATCAGCAGAGACGTTCAGCCTCAACCACCATGCTTCCCACGGGAACACCCTGGGAACAACGTTTTGTGGCCCTACACGACTACACTGCCCGCGTAGAGGACGACCTCAGTATGACGAAGGGTCAACAATTTTGCATACTCGATCGTTCTCAGGGCTACTGGTGGTACGCAAAATGCATCTCTACTGGTCTGATGGGTTATGTGCCATATAACTACCTCGCTCCTCTAACCAGCCTGGAGTCAAATGAGTGAGTTCCTTGTCACCATCAAGTCTCCTAAATTCTCTCTGGAATTTATGTATTTGAATGTTTTTATTGTCTGTGTCTTTTAAACAGGCGTTCTTATTTTGCGTCGACATTTTGCATTAATTCTTATGGATCTTTGCGAGCTGTGGATGGTGCGCGTTTTAAAGTATTTTGCATGCTCCTACTACTATTTGAACGTTGAATGGGTCACGTTGGTCTTCTTCCTGTGTAAACTCATGGACTAGTGAATGTTACATTATTAGTCATTAATTCGGTTGGAGGAACATTTCTGTGCTCCAGGGTCTTAACTCGTATCAATTCAAACCAACACACTTTTTAATTATCCATATTCTTTTGGCCACGATAAAAGGCAAGCAAAATAGGCACATTTAACCGTTTTTTTCACTTTCTTTGAAAATACTGATAATGTTTCTGCCACAAACTCAAGGGCTTACATTTCTCTTCCATTTTCGCTATTTTTATAGTCCTTTATTTGTTTATAAGTACGCAGAAACGTGGCCATATAAATACTGATATATTGCTCAATATGCTTCTGGAAGCAAGGAGGCAAGTTTTCGGAAACTGTCATGGAGAAAGATACATTATCTTTGGAGCAGGAGCGTTATTAGCTTGACCTTTCGGAATTTCGCCCGAATCCAACATCAAAGTCAGATAGTAGTTTGCACAGGTGTTGCGGTATGTATGTGATGTAGTTGGTAGACCACTACATGCCTGTAAAAATGTGTACTTCCCAAATGCCAAGCATAGCATCAACATACTGCGACCCCTGGCCAACGAAATAATTATCACACCTCGTGCAACTACTATTCACGATACAGAAGAAGAAGCGATCACTGGAACAAGAATTTTATTTTCCTGACGATTCGGATTCTGTCGAGAATCCTTAATCATAGGTAACTGTAAGATAGTGTGACACATGCACGGATTTCCGGGTATTTATAGGATTTAAGGATTTTAGACAGAATTCGTAACGTCAGGAAAATAACATTCCTGTTCCAGTGCTCGTATCATCTTCTGAAATACTTTCTGGAACTCGTATATTCGCTTCTATTCCTGATACCTTCGGAAGCCGCCAATGCTGATAGGTGTGTAGGGGCCTAGTGATTACATCCTATAAATGCTTCCAAACCCGTGCAATCCTCTATCTCTATCTGTTTTTGTTTCTGATGATGGATTCGAGTGAAAATCCGAAGCGTCGGATCAATAAGTCTCTTGTTTCAGCGACCTTGTCTTCTGCTTCGTGTAGTACCTTTTTTCTTTCTGGAAAATGATAATAGTTTCGTTTTGCTGGACGTTGCATCTTGATAAAATAGCCGTACCAAAATCCATTCCCGAAATATTTTACTTTTTTGACGAAAGTGCTTGTGGTGTGTTTAGATCTGTTACTGTACGCCAACATTTCCTTCTTTCATGAGACTCTATCTTTTGGAGCACATACTTGAGGTTTATCTACGTTTGCTCCAGCCATGATAATGACTTTCCCGTCATCACTGCAACCTAATTTTCTTGCGGTTTCCTGTTAATCTCTCTCGTTTTTTATATTCCTTGCTAAGCACGTATAAATCCAAAGAGCGAGCAGTAGTTGTGCATACTTTGAAGTTGTTAAGTGAACATTTACAGTGCCAACTTCTAAATTCATTGTAGACTTTCATACGTGGTAAAATGCCAGCTTGACTATCCACATAAAAGTGACTCATGTTTGCTGTTTCATGTCTGGTTTTGTGATAACAGTGTAATTATTCGGCTAGTTGGCTAGTTGTTTTGGAAAGCACTGTTCATCGGCGCGTCCTCCACACGGCTGACCACACTGCTCGCGCAAAGTCCGCGCAGCGAATTGGAAGGGGAGAGCTCATTGCTTTTGTTGGTTAGTTGTGGGCCGGAGAGATATTTTTTAAACACCTTATTGCTCATGAGGTTGCCACCTCAAGCGAAAACGTTGGTCTCGCTAAACTTAAAATTGTGACAGCATCCTATCAATTAGTTTCTTACTTAAGATTTGTTGTATTTTCGCTTCACTGCCGACGCTTGTTCGAGCATTCGTCTCCAGAGTACTCTTCAGGGTGCTCATGTGTGATTAAAACCATATACTCAGAGTATACCGTGCCATTTTTTCACCTATCATCTTTATCTGTTACTATTTCCAAATATTGATCCGTTTACATTTCGTTCGTATCGGCACTGGCTTGTTTCAACTTACAGTATGTCGCTTCGAGCTGATTTTATTTATGCGTGGTTTCTGGTCCGGTTAGCAACTACCGGCGAATCGATTGTGACAATAAGTCATCCTCTGGGTTAAATTACGATAGACTGAAGAGTGGGACAGAACATCCCGTGGAAGGATGTTGTGGAAACCGAGCCTGATGAACTCATCGAGGCTCAAAATCGTCTGCGCCATCCTTGGATAGTTCTCGAGGCCCGCATTTTAACTAATAGACGTTAAAGATACTTCGAGAAGCTCTGCCTGCGACCAACGTTGACCAACCTGGAAATTTCAGCTGTCTGTCCAATCTGAAGCAGGTTTTCTTCGGAATGCGACGTATCAGTGCATCCTGGTCAGGCAGACTTTTATGGAGTCACTTATGCGAATTGGCAGCGAACTCTTGTATTTTAATAGGCAGCAATAGTCGTCAGTGAATGACAATGTCCCACACTTGCTCCAAGGCGTGACAGATGCAGGATGTTATGTAAGCGTGCAGTAATTTATAACGGCAGGAGACCGCACTCTATTCTCGCTCACCCACCTGCACCCGGTGGGAATACTAAGTCAGGACGACCGGAGGCGGGATGGGTCGCGGTGGCCAGCCCGTCTACACGTACCACACACATGCACTTGAACTGCGCATCAAGGAGCTAGCTTTCACAAGACAAGGGGTAGCTTAGGTTCCATCAGAGTACAACTGCCACAGTGGCCACATTAGGCCGGAACTATTGTAGACTGACTCCCCGGAATGAGAGGAGAATGGAGTTATCTTCTTTGCTCGTAGCCTTCCGATCCATGACTCCTA